CGCCGATGCCCACCCAGGGGAGCAGATCGCCGCCGCGCAAACCCAATGCTACCCACGACTCCCGGGAGGCCCACCCATGGGGACGGAGCACTGAGGACAATGGGAATACTCACCCGACCGGCGACCGGGACCAGACCCAGGATCCGCGGGACCGTCAGCAGGCAGGGGACGGCCATCGGTGGGCAGAGGACTCGGCCCGACACCCGGAGGCAGCATCTGCGCGAGGCCGGGCCATCCGGGACCATTCGCAGCCCCAGCGGGACTTCCGACCTTCGCCGACGACCCTCACCGCTTCCCGGAGATCCAGACGGCGATCCGAGGCGGCTACGACCAAGCGAGGCTGGCCAAAGTGGAACCGAAGGCCCATCCAGAAGATTGGGGCCTTCATCCGGGAGCAGCAGGGACGAGCTCCTCACTCCACGGCGGCTGGGCTGAAATGAACTTCAGGCATGCGCAGTGCCTCCCTGTAAGAGAAATGGAACGAGACATAGAGCTAGACCGACGCAGACACATAGAAGCAAGTCAGTTCAGACTTGCCACAGTCATCCCCCTGCCTTATTGCGAGTACCCTTATGTGAGAAACCATGGACAGCGACACAATGTAAGTAATTTAAACTACAATTCAGGGACTTTACCAAGTGACTTTCCCAAAGGCTAGATGGGGAAAATTTCCTGGACTGGAACCAGCAGCTCCAAGTCGCCCTGCTGAAGGACTTATTATTATCTCTAGTCATTGACCCCCCAGAAAAACCTTGGACTTTTGAATTAGATTGCACCCACCATAAAGCCTATTACATTGTTATTGCTAGCATTACCCCCAGCATTTACCCTAGCATTAGCCACCACTTAATCACTCTAGAGGTAATACAGAGGATGCATAAACTGTTTTACTGTCAAAGCGTAGCAAGCACCACCAGACTATCCAGAGAGTTCTATGCCACCAAACTCAAGGCAGGGACCCCAATGAGCGAGCATTTGCTATCATTAAACGCCACCAGGGCCCAACTGACACAAAGGGGGGAGGTCATAAGTGAGAGGACTATGATAAGTATTATAGTAAATTCCCTGGACCCCAGCTGGGACACTTTCATCACACAGATAGATAACCTCGGCTCAGGGAAACTCTCACTGGAATTACTAACAAGCAAACTCATAGCCGAAGACAGCATTAGGAAAGACCGCTCACTAAGCCGTAGAGAGCAGAGACCCAGCAGAAGGGCTGAGCCACAGGGCAGGAGTCACAGTAACACAGAGTGCTACATATGTGGTTCAAAAAACCACTACAAAAGGGACTGCTCTAAGAACGTAGGGGACAGGGACAGGTCACACCGGAGGGACAGACCCAAACAAAGGGCGAGATACAGCGACAGGTGCTCACCAGAGGACAGGCACAGGCGCAGGGACTCCCCTAGCCCTAGGGACAGAAGGAGTTACAGGGACAGCTCCAGGGAGAGCCAGAATGGGTCACTGTATGGACTGGGAAACCAAGAGCAGCACAACGATCAGGACAGGAAGGAAGGCACATGGCTACTGGACTCGGGAGCCACAAACCACACCACATATGATCAGAACTCATTAACATCATTCACAAAGGAGAACTTTATAATAAAAGTGGCTAACCAGAACAATGTGCAAGTGACAGGGAAAGGCAACACACACGTGCCAGGGATAGGGATGATAGAAGGAGTGCTATTGGTGCCAAATATACCCTACAATATCCTTGCCACACTAAAGCTGAGCAAGGACAACAATGTCGAGGTGACATTCAAAGAAGGAAAGGCACATGTAACTAGAGGGGGCAAAAGCATAGGAAGAACAGTGATCAGTGAGGATCTGCCATTTTTCCACCCAGTTAGGGATACACAGCCCAAGGTAAACAACCACCGGAGGGCAAAACCCGACAACCCAAACAACACAAATGAGGAAGTAGAGGGGGTCAGTCAAGCACACACCACTAACGACTCAAGTGAGCAGGGGATACCCAGGAAGGAGAAGCCAGCGATAGGAAAACTAATGCATGACAACTGTGCACACCTGTTACATAGAAGACTAGGGCACATCAGTTTCCCTGTGGTACAGAAAATGATGGAATGCTCCGAAGGTGTAAAAATAAAAAATTGTGAGAACTATCTCGAGTGTTCTATTTGTAAAAGCTCAAAATTAAGAACCAAACCCAGGCCCAAAAAGTCAGTACGCACAACCAATTCAATTTTCCAACTCATACACATGGACCTAGTGGGGCCACTAAGGCCCTCCATCAAGTACAGGAAGAGGTTCTTCCTGACCATAGTGGATGATTTCAGCCGCTATGGCTTCGTGTACACCCTGAAGCACAAAAACGAGGTATTCCAAAAATTTAAGGAATTCTATGGAAGGGTGGAAACACAACATAACACTAGGATCAGACAAATAATGACAGACCGGGGGTCTGAATTTTTGTCGAGCGACTTCTCGCGATGGCTAAAGGCACGCGGGATAGTCTATTACACGTCTTCGCCGTTCTCCGCCTTCCAAAATGGCGTCGCAGAACGGAAAAACGGAACACTGCAGACCATGATGAGGTGCGCACTAGAGGATGCCGGTTTAGGGCAGCATTTCTGGTCAGAAGCACTCATCTATTCAAACTAAACGTTAAACAGGCTGTGGTCCAGCGTACTGAATAAAACTCCATATGAGTTGATGTACCAAAGGAAACCACAGGTGTCACACTTACATATATTTGGGGTCACAGCCAATGTGCACATCCCCAAGCAATTGAGACATAAGGGAGACAAAGTATCCAGAAGGTTGAGGTTCATGGGATACGAACCAGGGACGAAGGGATACAGATTCATAGATAGCAATAACAGATTTGTGGTATCACAAACAGCTGTCGATCTTAAACAGAGGCGATCCTTAAAAAGATTAAGAATAACAAACAAATGGAAAGCCCTGGAAAACTGCCAGAGGCTATCACTAGAAATAACAAAAACATAGATTCCAGACAATACAAAAAGCAAACATTTACTCATAATAACCTACATAAACTTCCTTTCCTCCTTTTGAGAAGATTGACCTCAAGACAGGAAAAAAAACAGAATACCAAGCAAAATTAGACCAAAAGGAAAACCGAAATCAGAGCAATCACCGTAACTAAAGAAACACGTATAATCCTTAAACTACACAAAGACTTCAAAGGAATAAATGTATAAAAATAAGAATCGGCACCTGTACAATTGGTCTACAATCCAGGAACATTTGAGCTGTGTCTCCATGTTTCTTGCCTTCCTGAATTAAAGATCCCTGCTTTCAGGCAGCTCGCTACTGCGTAATTTTTTCTCCAAACTTCTGTGACAGCTCCCACCCAGGAAACTAACCAGGGCATAAGTTCCTATTCAATAAACATTCAATAAACAATTCTTTGCTCATCATACACAATTCAACACAATTTTTCTTACTAGGATTTCCTTGTCAGTTTTTGCAGTACATCTGCCAGTGCAGCAGCTGCACTGAGTTGTAATTTTAAAAGATCAACCAACTCACACAATGTAAAATTATAAGATTTATATAAACAGAATGAGAGAAGGAAAGATTTCCCAATGCAAGTCCTAGCCTTCTTCACTGCATTGGGGTTTTTTTCCACTTGTAACAGCCTGTTGATTTCAGTTACCAGCTTTTGGAGATAAACATCTTATATTTCACCTATTTTTGCTGCCTTTTCTGATTACCATGTGAATGTGATGCAGTCATAAACTTTCTACCAGTACTAAATGCGGAAAAACTCAGTCCTAAACTTTCATCTCCACAACTAGTGCATCTAGTATATGGGGGTCAAACTCGCTGCATCACATCAAACTTGCTGTCATTGGATGTTTCAAAATGTTTTTCCCCTTCACTGAGTTGGGGTGGCCGTGGCCTGAGCATGATGCATCCAGCCCGTGGGACGTCAGCTTGAAACCCCAGTTCTGGTAGATTCAAAACCTATGGACCTGCAGATTTTTAAAAATATAATTGTTCTTTTTATTAATATAAATAAGAGCAACGTATTCAAAATCCATATAGACAGTGTGTTGTCTGGTTAGTTTTTTTGAGTAATAAGCATCACAGTAATGAAAATAGTATTCTCGAATAATAATATGATAATAACAGTGTTTTTCCCTCATAACATCACTACATATTGTTAATACTAATCAAAATTAATCAAAGTTAATAAATTATGGTAAACAATCCTAATGATAAATCATCTGCAGATGCATCATGGGAAATCCATGCTTTCTTTTTTGCAAAACTGCAAAATTAGTACAATAGTTGGATGCATGATGACAAAAAGGATCTGTGGTTTAATTGTGCCTTGTTTTTTGTAAAGAAAAACTTTGAATTATTTTGCAGTCAGTTTCTGAAGGGACAAGCGTCAGAACTAGTAACAGAAGGAATTTATTAATATCAGTTGATGTCTCTCTTGATGTGAGCTCATGAGTTATACAGGTAGTCCTTGACTTACAATCATTTATTTAATGACCATTTGAAGTTATAAAGGCACTGAGAAAAGTGATTTATGACCATTTTTCACACTTATGACGATTTCAGCATTCCCATGGTCACATGATCAAACTTTTTCTGCTTGGCAACATCCATGTATTTATGACAGTTGTAGTGTCCTTACCATGTGATCACCTTTTGCAACTTCTGACAAAGTCATTGGGGAAGCCAGATTCACTTAATAAACATGTTATTAACTTTACAACTGCTGTGATTCATTTAATAACTGTGGCAATTTTCAGGCTCGAAGTAATTCCTTATTCCAGCGATCTTTGCGGAGAGCCGAGAACGAACACTCCTTCCTTTTAAACATGGTCCCGGAGAGCAAGTGGGCGAAAATAAAGAAAATCGACGATAAACTCGCTTTTCTCACGGGATAGCGTACTCTCGCGGGATCCTTCCTACCTCTTCTGTCAACAAGTTCTGAGGGAACGCATGCGCAAGTCCATTTTCCTCCTTGACCCTCTCCGGATCTCAATAAAGTTTACGTTCTCGTGGTGTATTTTGTTTCTTCTCGTTTTTGTTTCGAAGAGCGCCGCCTGTTCCTTGCACTTCCGGTTCAGTCGGTGTGTGGGGCCATCTGGGATGGTCCTGGCGGCGGCAGCGGTTGTCCTTGGCGTGGGAGCGGCGACTTGATGGTCTTTCCAGGTGAGCGGTGTTGTCAGTGGTCGGTCCCTCTCTGCGGTGTCCAGCCTCCAGCTTATCCCTCTGCAGGAGCTGGTCGTCGCCCCCATCCCTGGCGCCATCGGCCTTTGTCAAAAGGCCCTGATTTTGACCGTCGGGGTCCGAGCTCCTACTGTGGGAGGCAGGTTGGTATTTGTTGGGAGGCCCAGTGGGAGGCATTGGGTGCTGAGTTAAGAGGGTTTGACCTTATCTGCAGGAATTCATTTGTCTAGGCTTTCTTTTCTCCTTCCAAGAACCTTATTGGATCTGTTCAGGCAATTAGTTAACATGGTTTCAGTTTTTAAAACGCATAAGAACAACCCTGCTGGATCATGTCAAGCCCATCTTAGAGTCCATTTTGTTTGTCACAGGCATCCAGATGCAGGGAGGAATAATAAAATGCAAAAGTTAAGTTCGTTTTGTTCATTTGGATATCTGAGCAAAAATTATATTTTAAAATCCCTGCAACTTCTCTTCCCTTCCTATTGTTTTCATTTTGAACCAATTGTTTCCTTCAGTGGGACTTACTTCTAAGTAGATTTACATAGGATTACACTGTTATATTCTGGTTTCTCCTCTCTCATTTTAAGTTATTAATTCCTCAGAAACTAAGCTATGTGTGAGACTGTATATCTAATATTCCATGCTAGATGGGGGGGAGGGGCTGTGCATTTATGAAGATTATTGAGTTCTGAAAACAGTTCTAAATGGCTTGCTATTTTGGACAATTCACCTTTTAGAAACACAAAACAGCTATAGAATGCATGATTCTGGATGAAAATTGGAATGTTCTGAATTTGGATCTCACAGAGAAAAAAAATTTACCCATCAGTAATATATATTCTGATAATTAAATAAGATAAGATAATTAAATCTTGACCAATTTTTTTGTAAATTGCACATATAAACGTTGAAATACAGGACAGTGGTGAACTGGAAAATCTTACTTTTATTTTCAAAAGCTGTATTTTACACTTCTCGTTAAAATTAAGATTACTTTGCTTGCAGTGGTCACAGATTAATGTTTATTGTAGAAATGATTGTGGCTCGTTGGTAAGTAAAGCATTAATGGCATGAAAAAAACCTCAGGACTATAAATCACTTCCATCTGATAATTCTAGCTTAATTATATATTGTTGGTCTAAATTATTGTTGTCCAAACTTTTGGTTTGCTTGGGCTACATTAAGTAAAGAGGAATTGTCTTGGGTTGCATATAAAATATATAGTTAATGTATGTTAATCACATGTTAAAAGTTTACAATCTTGTGGGGCCACATGCAGTCCATGGGCCATGGGTTGAAGAAGCCTGGTCATAGACCATTGGTTTGACTTAATATAAAAGTGTGTATGTTTTAAAACATGAAAAAATAATGTCCATGGACTGAGCTGTTTCTGAATATGTTTATATAATAGAATATTGCCTTTGAAAGAAAAGTAAAATCGGTAAAATAACTATTTTTTATTTTAGTATTTGTATTTTAGATTGAAGCTAGCACTAATGCTAACATTGGCAAGCAAACTGAAACGGGATGATGGTGTCAAGGGCTCCCGTACTTCCAACTCCACTTCTGATTCTACTCGAAGAGTGTCAATTAGAGATAAATTGCTTGTTAAAGGTAATGCACTTTCCTATTTGTTTTGTTCATTTTTTTTTTGTTAATTCAACTTAATGTCAAACAATTATCTGAGGGGTCCTTGGTGCTCTCTGAGCTTGCTTGTTTTCTTGCAGATGTTTCATTATCTAAACTAGGTATCATCATCAGTAAGAAGTGCAGTGTGCTGTCAATTGATATTCTAGTGCCGTGATGGCGAATTTATGGCATGCGTGCCAGAGGTGGCACGCAGTGCCCTCTCTGATGGCACACAAGCCATTGTCTCGGTTTAGCTGCCCATGCATGCGTGCCTCCCACCACCCAGCTGGTCTTCAGGACTGCTTTTTTATGATGTTTTTTATGTTAGGTGTCCATTTTAAGTCTTGAGATATTATAGAACCTAGAAATTTGAAGGTCTCTACTGTTGATACTGTTTTGTTTGGTATCGTAAGAGATAGTAATATAGGAGGGTTTCTCTTAAAATCTACCATCATTTCTACGGTTCTGAGTGTGTTCAGTTCAAGATTGTTCTGGTCGCACCACAAGGCTAGTTCAACTTCCCATCTGTATGCAGATTCATCATCATCTTGAATGAGACCAATCACTATTGTATCATCTGCAAACTTCAGTACTTTAACAGATGAATCTTTTGAGATTCAGTTATTAATTTGTAGAGAGAAGTGGAGTCAGAATACAGCCCTTGGGGGTCAGGTATCTGATGTGATTTTGCCTACCTTCACCTGCTGCTTCCTGTCTGTTAGAAAGCTTATGATCCACTCACAATTGTAGTCAGGCACAGCTAGCTGATTTAGTTTAGTAAGAAGAATATCTGGAGTGATGGTATTGAATGTCGAGCTAAAGTCTACAGATAAAACCCTTGCTTAGGTCTTTGGAGATTCAAGATGTTGTAAGATGTAGTGCAGCGCCATATTAACAGCATCATCTGCCAATCTATTTGCTCAGTAGGCAAATTGCAAGGATCCGTGATGGTTTTCAAGTAGGCCAGCACTAGCTTTTCAAAGGTTTTCATAAAGTACAAATGTAAGAGCAACTGGTCTAAAGTCATTCAGTTCCTTGATGGAGGGTTTCTTAGGCACTGGGATGATAGCAAAACATTTGAAGCAAGAAGGAACATAGCACATCTCTAGTGATTTATTAAAGATGCGGGTGAAAATGGGGGCCAGTTGGTCAGTACAAGCTTTTAAGCAAGAAGGATTTACCCTATTTTTTGCACTATAAGATGCACTTCCTCCCCCCTCCAAAATGGGTGGAAATGTGTGTGCATCTTATAGAGCGAATGTTGCTGAAGCCCGCCCACCCACCAGTCCCCACCCTTAAGCCTTTTCCGGCCTCTGCGTGCCCATTTTCAGCTTCAGAACACCCCATTTTTGGCCTTCGCACGTCCCATTTTCAACCCATTTGAGGCAGTGGGGATCACCGTCATCGGCACTGTCGCTGATCGCTGCCAAGTGCTGGTGAACAGCAACAATTGGCGGTGATTCCCGCCACCTGGAATGGGCCGAAAATGGGACATGCAGAGGCAGTGATAGATGGCGGTGGCAATCCCCGCAGCCTGGAACCGCTGATCAGTGGTATTCCGGGAGGCGGATCCAACCGCCAATCAGCTGCTCATGCTAAATCAGGCTGCAATAACATGCTGAAGTTGACCAGGCTGTTTGCTGCAAGGATGCTAGCCAGATGAATACTGGTGGATGCTGGGAGGCAGAGGCAGATTTTTTTTCTTGTTTTCCTCCCCAAAAATTAAGTGTGTCTTATGGTCTGGAGCATTTTATAGTCCCAAAAATACAGTATCTTGTCTTGGCCTGGTGTTTTTCCTGGCTTTTGTCTGTGAAATAGACCTTGCAGATTATTTTCTGTAATCACCAAAGGAGCGGGGCCCAATGGGATGGGATCAATTGTAGGAGGCTTGACTGCTGTTGGTGTGTCTAAGATGGGGATTGTGGAGATAGGTGGCAGTAGTTTCCTCTCAAACCTACAGTAAAACACATTCAGATCATCTGCCAGTTGTCGATTTCCTTCAGCATGGAAAGGAGGTTTGCTGTAACTGGTGATATTTTAAAGAGTTTTCCACATGTTTGCTGGTTCATTTGTTGAGAACTGATTCCTTAGCGTTTCAGAGTAGCTTCTTTTGGCTGCTGTGATCTCCCTTGCTAATATGTTTCTGGCCTGACTGTACAGCATTCTGTCGCCTTTTCTGTAGGCTTCCTCTTTGGCACGATGTAGCTGCTTAAGTTTAGCTGTGAACCAAGGTTTATTGTTACTGTATATTCGCAGGTTTCTGGTCGGCATACATAGGAGTTCTGACCGGGCCCATGTTGCTCCTCAACCTCCTCACTGTCTGAATCTGCTGCCAGCTCTGCTAGCGGGCCACAACAATAGGTCTTTACAAAAACTGATATATGATGTTACAGTATCTGTGAGATCATCCAAGTCTGCAGGTATCTTTGGAAACGTTCCAATCAGTGCAATCAAGGCAAGCCTATAGCTTTAGCTTTGCCTCCTCAGTACAAGACCTCACTGATTTAATTGTTGGTTTTATGGTTTTAAGTCTTCGTCTATAAATGGGTACAAGGTGAATCATGCAATGATTAGAGTGTCCCACAGCTGCTCGTGGTAAAGACTGATAAGCATCTTTTAATGTTGTGTAGCAATGGTCTAAAATATTCTTGCTCCTAGTGAGACAGTTGACATGCTGAAAATATTTTGGTAGCAAGTATAAGAGCAGTATATTATAGAAGAAAAATGTGTGAAATGAAGTGGAATAGTTTAACAAAGGATATGTCTCATGATAAAAATGTAAAAGATGACAACAAAAGTAAGAGTTGGAAAATTTGAGGAGAGCTGATCCATAGAATTGCTGAAAATTGGACACTGGATAGCATCCAGTGAGAAAAAGGCACATCCACATCTTATCCGATAAGTGGTGTACCCAACTCCTGACAACAGGAAAACAGGTAGGCTTCAGGCCTACCGTGGGAAGTTGGGAGGGGGGATAGTATAGAGTGAAGAAGATATGTAGCCAAAATAAAATTCTTTATAGAAAGTCAAGGCTAAGGATGGGTTAAGTGCCAGTGGACACTGGCCCTAGTCCCACCACCAATGCAGTTCCAGCAGCAAGCTGCCCAGCCACAGCCCCTCCTGCAACCCCAAGCTGTGATCCTTCAACAGGTGCTAATTAAATTAACCAGACTATTGGTCAGCTCTGTTTACAAAAGTCAGGTGAATGGTTGAAGGAAAAAGTATGTGAGTGAAAACAAGTTTCAAAGTCCTACACTCCTTCACAGAAAGTCCACCGATTCCCCAGTATAGGTATGTGGACAGTACTTGGGTCAAGATTAAAACGCAGGAATTGGAAGCCTTCACAAACACATCAATTCTTTGGACAGTTACATTAAATTCACTTAGGAAGATGTTAAGGAAAATAGTCTGGCCTTCCTGGACTGTGCAATACATCTTAAGGAAGATGGAAGTCTTAACATTAAAGTTTACAGAAATCCCACACACACACATACAGATCAATAACTACATCTTGATTCTCACCACCCACTGAAGCACAAAATGGGAGTGATCAGGACCCTATACCACCAGACTGAAATTTTGCCTACCAACAAAGATAAGAAAAAAAAGAACTAAACACCACATCAAGGAACTTGTGGCTATCTCCTCTGGGCCTTCATCAAATCCCCCCAAAAAGACCCAGCAGGAGCTCTTCAATAACAAAGAAGAGAACAATAAGCGAAGCAACATAGTCATTCCATATGTTGCAGGAATATCTGAAAAGTTCAGGAGGATTTTCAACCAACACAATATACATACACACTTTAAACCCAAAAATACACTAAGGCAGAAACTTTCCACCTCAAAGATAAAACACCTTGACACAAACTGAGCAATGTGATATATGCAGTATAATGCAGTGAGGTATATATAGATTTGTACATTGGAGAAACAAAGCAACCACTTTACAAATGCATGACACAACATAGGAGAACAGACTCCTTTAGGACAAGATTGTTCTGTCCCCAACCCCATGCACACACACCAATAGACGTTCAGGAGTTAAAGACCAAACCAGCTGGCAAAATCCTTTTCCTTATGATAACGGAACTTGGCAACAACCTAGTGGCTGCCTGCCAAGAGTTTATTATTTACGAAGAGGAGAGATAACTTCTCCCCACTTCTGATATATCAAAGGAAAGCAGCTCAATAATTACGGAATTAAATCAAGTCCAGAGATACTCCAGCAAAGTCTTAAAGCAAAAGTCCGGCAATGCAGAATGGCGTGGAAGCTTTCAGCTTTGTTCGTCACAAGGTTTGACTGGCCACCACGCTCCCTTTTATATCCTGTGGGGTGTGGTCCAGTGACTCAGCCTAATCTCGGGCACGCCCTTTCTTCTGTTGCGCGCGCTTATCTCTGCGACGCTGGCGTGGGTCCAGCCAAGACTCATTACCCTCATCACTGTCCATCTGTGGCTGCGTGGACGTGCTTGGCCCTGGCCCTATCTCTTGCCCTTTGGCGGACACCGAAGACATTGCCAGAGAGGAGGGTCCTGGAGAGGGAGGCCTTGCCAACTCCTCCCCTTCACTCTCGGAGTCCTCTCCTGACGATGACACAGGCTCCGGTAAAGGAGCCACAACAAAGATTCAGACAAAGGTCACTCTTGTGAAGCCAGTGAAGTCCACATTTTGGACAAAGAGGACTGCTGGTTTGAAAGAGGGATCAAAGAGGCTATTTACATTGAGATTTTTTTAAAAAAATTTGATTTATATGCCGCCCTTCTCCGGAGACTCAGGGTGGCTTACAATGCGCTAAGCAATAAGATTGAACAACCTTTTCTCCACCCAGGGGGATGGATACTACACTACGTATCTCCTGTTTACAACAGTCCTTTCAGTCTCTCAGAAACGATTTGAAGAAATATAAATGCTTCCATCCTCCACAGTTCAGTCAGAACTGAAGAGGCTTCTTAGATGAGAAGTGAAATGTCTTCAAGGAAAAGCAA